TATATATATATATATATATATATATATATACTATTGCAATTATTAATATAAATTCCTGATACTATTTTGAGAATTGTTGATGCTTGATGCAGGTACACCTGGCGTGGGCAAGAGTTTAATGTCGCGTATGTTATCGGAGAAAACCGGCTTAGAGTGGCTCGATGTCAGTAAACTAGCCATCGAAAATGAATGCCTAGATGCGTACGACGAGGTATATCAATGCAGCGTGTTGGACGAGGATAAGGTAATTTCTCTTGTCATCTTGCATGCATTTTATTGTACTGTAAAATTTATGAAACAAAATTCTAGGATATTATTTATTACAAATTATATATTTTAATATCATGTTAAATCTTTGTGCAATATCTTTTTTTCTAGTTACTAGACAGTATGGAGGGTCCTATGAGTGAAGGAGGAAAAATCGTTGACTATCATAGTGTCGAGTTCTTCCCTGAAAGGTGGTTCGACATCGTATTTGTACTTAGAACAGACAACACTATTCTATATGATCGTCTAAAGGAAAGAGGCTATTGCGGGAAGAAATTGGAGGACAATATAGACTGCGAAATTTTTCAAACTATTCTTGAAGAAGCGAGAGCTTCCTACAGGGAAGAAATAGTACACGAATTAATAAGCAATACATTAGATCAGTTGACCGATAATGTAAATAGAATATGTCAGTGGTTGGAACAGTGGAAAATAGATAATCAACAAACTTGAGGAGATACTTATTTCTTATCAGGCTAATTTTCATTCTTTTTATATTTACATTATCTAAATCAAGTTAGTATAACTTTTGTTATAAATAAACAAGTTTATCGATGCGATAAAACATGACTGTACATATATACAAATTCCAAGATTCATTGATCAATATTCTGTACATACAGATAAAAACACAATATAACAAACATATTTTTTTATCTTATGTGCAAACAAAAATATTGAAATTTTTCATGTAAAAAAGAATTATTTGTTTACTATAAATGCTACAATATATTTATTCTATTATACCTAAATCATGCTTTAATTTCTTTAATCTATTATCTACAGTATCATAATATTTCATTTTTATTAAAATCTTTGTTGCAGTTTCAATATCTTCTTTATTGAACGCATCTGCAACTTGTCTGAAAAAAATTGAGAAAAGCATTAGATTGATATGAGAACATTAGAAATCAATTCCAATTTACAATTATAAAAAATGAAGATTACTTGGATAGTTTATCGAGCAATTCTTTAGATTCTTTGGCGAATTTCAAGATCTTGTCTTTGTCTTCTATCGCATTTTCTATCTCTTCATTACGTTCCATAATCTCCATGAGAAATTCTGGATTCAAGTTGGTAGTGCCTTCTGGTATCGATATACCTTTTAATTGCAACATATATAATCCTCTTTTTAATGGATGTGCCAATGTACTATAAGCTTTATTTATTAGAGATGATAACTTCTCTGAGATTTGCCTTTCTTTCTATTGAGAGTTAAAATAAATTTAATTTACAAATAGAAAAGTTTTAATTATCATAAATTAAAAAGCTTTCGAGAAAAGATTGTTCGAAGATTGTTCGAAGAATAATTCTCTCTAGATCAATCAATACTTGCCTCAGATTTATTACCAAATTTGTCAGGATGCAATATCTTCTGCAATTCTCTATACTTTCTATGAATTTCTTCATTTGCCACATTGTAATTTCTTTTGATCCCCATGATATCAAAATAGTTTAAATTCTGCGGTAGTTCCTGCAATACTTTGCATCTTGAGCAGAATAACTCAGACTTATATATATAATCACAATTCCAACACTTAGGTGGACTATCACTGCAGAATCGTAAGGCTCCCAAAGCAATGGTAGGATGAACTGTAGGTCTCGATGATACGTGACACGAATATAACTTACATTGCTGCTTAATTGGACTCACTGCCACTACAGATTTTCTAATAGTTCTCGCCAGAAACATTTTTCCAAAGTAATCTTATAATCTAGTTAGAAAAAAAACAATAATTTTTCAGATATTCATAAAAATTTAATCTAATATATATATATATATATATATACCAAGCTCAAAAAACAAATTATAGTCTTATCACTTATTGAACAATATAAAGTTATAAAATGATAAAGTTATCAATCAAGTTGTAATAAAAAGTTGTACATACGTTCCAGCTTCAAAATTAAAATTGAACATGAAATGAAACTAATTGATTTAAAAATTCATATAATAGAATATTTATCAATTCTTAAGCAGATTACAACTTCACTTCTTTCCTTTTTTTTACTATTATTTATAATGTAAAAATCTAATCTTATCCTAGACTCACATAACTTAAGATTATCCTATCCTAACCTATCTGCTAAACACACTTTACTGTCTCAGGCTGATCTTTTTTTACTTTTATGAAACTCATGTAATATATATATATATAAACATTATCATTCCGTTCCGTAAGTATTGTCAGACTGATCAATTTTGATTCGCGGTCAACCATCAAGGAATCAACCGTGATAGCTCGAACTCTCAACCACCTCGAGTGATCTCCCACTTGCTACGTGAAGGAAGAAACGTCAAACGGATCCCATTTGGCTGGACAGTGCCACGCGATTTTTAGCAAGCGAGACGAGCGTGGCTCAAAAAATCCTTCGGTAGAAAGTAGGTAGTGCGCATAACGCGTATAGGATCCGAACCTTGTTTTATCAATGTATTTTATGTGGCTTTTGTTCCCCAGGTGTGGAGGAACACGTGGCTGGACTGTTGGATCTGAAATTGCCGAACTCGGTGACGACGGTTGGCCGAGCTATGGGTCTTCTCGTCGGCTGACGAGCGCCATGAACAATACAATTGTCGCGCGCTACATGCACGAGCCGTTGTCCGAGGCGGCCTTCGGATTTCGCGACTTCCGCCTCGATAAGGTATCGCTATCGGACCGTATCGGCGCGCGATGACAGTGGCCGTTTCTCGTTTTCTTGGTTAGCCCGAGCGCGCTGAGAGAATAATCCTCCGCGCTAGTCGTCGAAACATCCTGACCCTGGTTTGGCTCGCCGCGTCGTCCCGATTCGACCTCCGACTCGCAAGATTATGAGTTCGACCGGGAATCGCGGTCACGAGAACGACGCGACTGAAGGAATTTAACTGTGAGAGTCTCGTTACGAGTCGACGAGGAGCATCCTCAGAGTTCTCCTGTCTAGGAAGAAAATAGGAAAAAAAGGAGATGGGGGACTACCGGCAACAGTTAGGCTACTTGATCAAGTGGTTGGGCACCTTTGACCTTCAGGCCCCACATAGTTCCGCAGAAGAGATAAGCGATGGGGTTGCCTTAGCAGAAGCCCTGGCTAAGATTGCACCCGAGTGGTTCACAGCGGCGTGGAAGGCGAAGATCAAGACCGATGTGAGCACCAACTGGCGTCTCCGGGTGAGCAACATGAAGAAAATTGTGGAGGCTGTGATGGAGTACTACGTGGAGTGTCTAAATCAGCAGTTATCTGGCTATGCCAAGCCAGATGCGGGTAAGATTGGTGAGCATTGTGATATTGATGAGTTACGCCGTCTGCTGCAGCTGATCCTCGGCTGTGCCGTCAATTGCGACCAGAAGCAGCAGTATATCACCAGGATAATGGGCATGGAGGAGACGGTGCAGCGAGCAATAATGCAAAGTATCCAAGAATTGAACTTCGAATCTCTGGTGGATGTGGCGGACGGCGCTCGGACGGCGACGGAGCAGAGACTCTACGCCGAACTCCAGGCGGCGGTGGAGATGAACCACCAGTTAGCGCAGAGATGTCACGAGCTTGATCAGCAACTTTCTCTTTTGCAGGAAGAAAAGGCTGCATTAATCACGGAGAATAAGAAATTGCAGGAGCGGCTGGATGAGTTTGAGAATCCAGAGGAGTCCGGCTCTATTCTCAAGTACTCCGGTTTGCGGAAGCAAGTAGAGACATTGAAGGATGAGCTGTTCAAAATGGAAACATCCAGGGATGATTACCGATTAAAAGTAGAGTTATTGGAAAAGGAGGTGTTAGAACTGCAGTCAAGGCAGGAGGATTTACAAAAAGCCGCTGACGAAGCGAATCATCTGAAGGACGAAGTGGACGCCCTGAGGGAAACCGCTGACAAGGTAGCGAAATATGAAATCACGATAGAATCATATAAGAAAAAGATGGAAGATTTTAGTGACCTCAAGAGACAGCATAAAATCCTAGAGGATAAGAACGTCGAGAATCTGCAAGCTAAACTGGACTATGAGGAAGAAGTGAAACGCACGACAATGTTGCGCAATCATCTGGAAGTGTGTAAGCAGCAACTGACTGAAGCTAATCATCGGCTGGACGAACAGAACAATAAAAATGATCGGTTGGAGTTTGAGAGTAAAAAAATGGAAGCGAAGTTAGGTGCCTTACAAAGGGAGAGAGACCGGCTGATCATCGAGAGGGATGCTCTGAAGGAAACGAACGAAGAGTTGAAATGTACGCAACTGCAAGCCGCTGAAAACATGGCAAAACCCAGCGCTGACAGCACCGGAGTTTCCGGGACGGAGATGATCCCGCTTGAGGTCAAGGAGAAGCTGCTTTGTCTGCAGCTGGAGAACAAGATGCTGAAGATGAAGCTGACGGGCAATGAGGACAAGTTACCAAGCGTGCAGGCGTTGCTTGAGGATTCCGAGGAACGTTTGAATACACTGCGGGGACAGAATCGCAAGGCGAATCAGAGGATAATGGAGTTAGAAACGAAATTGGAAGAGGCTATGGGCACTCAGATCAGCGGTGACAACAAGAGCGACAATGTAGGCCTGAATCAGAAGATGTCGCAGCTGCAAGATGATTTGCGAAAAGCGCAAACTGATAAGGAACGGCTAACGCTGCAGCTTGAGGAACGCGAGAGCGCTTTACAGACGCAAAAGCAGAAAGCCTTCGCTCTTCAGGAGAAACTCACACGAAAAGAGTACGAAAACGCCGCTCTCGAGGAACGCTACAAGAAGTACATTGAGAAGGCCAAGAGTGTCATAAAGAGCCTCGACCCAAAGCAGAGCAATTCATCGCCGAGTGAGGTTGCCGTGTTGCGCAACCAATTAGTGGAGCAACGCAAGATGATCGAAGATATGGAGCGTTCCATGAAGGAGTCCAGACTATTGCGAGAGATGGAAGAAAAATTGATGGTGACCGCCTTTCATAGACTGGGTCTGAATTGCCACAGAGAAGTGATGGACCAGCGGCTCGCGGCGCTTAGTTCGGGACAGGGTCAGTCTTTTCTAGCCAGACAGAGACAACCCTCGGCGCGACGTTATCCGCCTTATAACTCGAAATAAGGACACGTGCAAAAACAGTTGATTTGACGATTAAGTATTATTACAGGATAAAATGGTAAATGATCATTTGAGATATCATTAACAGTGTGATAGATGTGATGTTGTATATTACGTATATAAATTTAGGGATTTAGCAATAAATTTATTTAATAACTATTAATTGAACATTTAAATTTAGTAACTCATAGCATATTAATATCATGTTTATCTCACTGTTACGATTGTTTCAATTGATTGTATTTCATCGATGTAGATACAATTGGAGATAATTCAGAACAAAAGTTAAATATCTTTTTTCTTTTTAACTTTGATTTTTTTTATGTAGTTTTATTTAATTAATAATATCGAAACTGTTAATGAGCAAGAACTCGATTGTAAAACCTTTTTTATATGTATCTTTAGCCAATCTTTTTGCCAGTCTTCCTGCGGTATCATTCAAAGAATCATCAAACAGAAGATAGTTTTAACATTCAACTCTAATCCTATTTTCATACATATACGGTAATTTTCTAGCTCTTAGAGATGTGCCAACACACATGTTCCTATATCATTAATGTAAAAAAAGTAATCGCACGAATATCTCCAATAGTTAGAAAAACGAATTAAATTCTTATACATTTTGAAATTGTATCTATATCGTAAATATTTACCATATTTACCCTATTTTAATCAGGCTCAATAAAAGAAGTATATGTTGAGTAAATTGTAAATAAGATTATACAGGTATTGGAATACATATTTTGCTTTGCGACAGGATAGATATTATGCAAAATGTTGAATATGAACAAATTTTATCTCATATAATGACATTTTTAAATCATTGACAAAGAACAAGTATCGAAAATATTGTGTAGATGGACATGCAAAGTCCCAACATTTAAAAAATAATGTTCCAAAAAGTTAATTTCAGAAGTGTGACAATTATCAAAATAGATTGTGTGTGTGTGTGTGTGTGTGTGTGTGTGTGTGTGTATGTGTGTGTGTAAATATATATCCCGTAAAACGTACTAACAATTGGTTACATTGGAACATTATCTTAGTTTTAAATTTTCGCGTAATTATTATTTTCTAAGATTTTGCATGCCCATCATTGTATATATCTATGTTGACGTTTATTTTGATAGAATGATTGACACTAAATGTACATTCGTAAACATTATTATTTGCTTTGTGCAACAATATATGAAAGTTTTTGTAAATAATATATAAGCCGCTCTATAGACATTTCTTGGATTTGAACATCGTACACATAAAATTATATAAATATTTTGCAACGCAGAAAAGAACTTATACATATTTATACCTTTATAGCCGCGTTAATATTATAACTAACATTATTTATTTGATACATAACTTGTTATTCTTATTATATATTATCTTATTATATATTTGTTTTATAATTCTCCAATGCACATGGCAATGAAGAATAATTGGAAAACTAATGTATGGAATGTACATACAAAGATAAATAAATGCTATAATATACGACACGCTTATGGAAGCAACTGTCGTTATTATCTACATATAGCTATGATTAGTTATAACATTTCAGAAAATAAATATTCTAATACAATAGAATACTTGTAATATTGGAAATCAACATAATTCAATATAATTAATTATTAAAATTTCTCTTATTGGCAAGATTGATTGTTCGATAATTACTTAATTATATACATATCTTATACATATTTTATAAGCTGTTCTAATTTTCTAATTTCTTCATAAGAAGAAATTTATTTTATATGTCATGTTTATATGAGAGAAATAGGAAAAAAGTTATGTAAATAAAGATTTTAATTGTTTTAGTTATATAGTATTCACATTTACATATTTTGAAGATTATTACATTTTACATATTTATCATATTTATCTTCTAAAATATCTCATGTAACTGGAAGTATTTATAGCTTCTCCCTGAGTTTATAATTCTATAAAAATGTCAAAATAGAGCAAATATTTGTATAAACTTTTGATAGTTTTCACATATATAATTTGTCTTTGTTAAATCGTCTGACTAGTTTTTGCATATAAACTTATATATATATCCATAAATTTATTATTGACATAAATTTTGTTGATATACAAGATTTAGTTGATATACAATGTTGATATTATAATTTAATTAATAAATTTATAAAATAGATCAAGATTATCTGAGATAGAAATGATAAACAAACAATAATAATGAAAAATTGATTTGAAGCAAAATCCAAACAACAGATTTTCAGTATATTTCACTGATACTTATTGTAATATTATTATTTAACTTTAAACTATCACATTCGTTTGTTTTTGGGATTATGCCGTTAGCAGATACATGTTTTCAATTTCAATTTGACGTTTTTGATACAACTTATTAACATACATAGATACTCTATTATGTTCAATTTGTTTGGAATTTTGCATTTTCGCAACTCTTTGTAAGTCAGGATAACATCTTTGATAATAAAATATTGCACTAATAAAATCCAATAGATTAAATTCAGGCCATAAGGCATTGCTAAAGTAAATACAAGTGTTGGAAATCTAAAAGAAATTAGATAGAATAGTTTTAGATGTAGTTCTGCTTTGATAATGTAAGCAAAAAATTTATCCAAATCATAAAAATAAAATATTTTCTTACTTGCCACATAAGGAAATCGCTAAGTCGAACTTCTCCGGAAGTACGAATCAATAAATCTGGATTTGGAGACTTGTAAGTGTATAAACAGTCGGAAATCAGCTTTTCATTAATATCTTCTGGTAAGATATCAGTACATTTTACACCCATTGCTATATCTTTAATTGCATGAGTAATTTCATCCTTTGCTGTAAACATATAAAGATTAAGATATTTAAATAATTATATATATATATATATATATATATATATATATATATATATATCTTGAAAAGTTTTTACTCATAGCAAGTGTAAATATAAATGTTTATATTGATCATACTTACATGTATAAGCAAAAGCAACATTTAAAAATGCTTTGTTATTGTCCTTAGTAATAATCATAGCTTCTGCAATTAATTTGCAAATGTCTTCTGGAAGCATAGACAAATTGCCAATTACACGAATACATACTCCATGTTCCATCAGCTTCTCCCTGCAAATTTGTGACAGCATGATTTATAATCACGTTATGATATAATATTTGATTTAAAATCTCATGCATACTTCTCATCCAAAAGACGCTTGAACTTTTCCCTGGCAAGTTGTAAAAGTGTATTGACTTCTTCTTTACTGCGTTTAAAGTTCTCTATGCTAAAAGCATAAACTGTCACCTCTGGAATACCAAGATCCATGCACCAACTCAATGTCTCAGCTAGTTTATCGAATCTGTCATAAGTAAAACATAAGATCAAAACATACAGATGAATACAATAGTATATTCACAAATTCTTTTAGAAAATACATACCCTCTTATATGTCCCTCTGCCTTTGCCACGTTTTGTTTATTTGCATAACGTCTGTTGCCATCCATGATGAATGCCACATGTTTTGGCAACTGGCCGGTCTTAATAATCTTTAAGGCCAATGTTTGGAACCAGTTTAAAGTCCGTTCTCTTATCCAAGACATTGTACTTCAAATACTATTCATGCAAAGACGCGAGTAAACGTATAATCTATTCTCGACTGTCTTCCTCGTCAAACGCTTCTGCCAGACTTGCCGATCAGTACTCGTCGACGAACACAATATGAAGCGTTCATTAACTATAATAACGCTAATCAGCTACCAGTCATCGTCTAATCTTCACGCAGTTATTAAAAAACCTATTTGTGACGCAACTTCCTCGTTATTTTCACGATCATCTTAATTATCGACCTTATCTATGCTCCACGCTATATTCAAATTAGGTTATTCTTGAACAAAGTATTCTCAATATCGCCTAACGAAATGCCAAACTCATACCAACTCATTTGTTATCTCTTTTTCTTTTTTTCTCTTATCTAGCATGGATCCAAGCGACGTCAAAAAATCAATATCAAGTATCAACGATCGTCAACAGTGACCGGTGTCATCCTCATCCTCCAACATCTGATAACGTTGCTTCAATGAACGTACACGCGAAAGTGCGCGTGGTTTCTCATCGTACGTTCGTAATCATAACCGCCATATTGACCTGCGCTCCTCTCGGACTCGTGTGAAGTGTGAAGTAAGCTGCAAGCGCATGTCGTGAAAATACAGGGTGCGTTTCTTTATTCACTCCGAGTGCTCATGCTATGACGTAATAAAGTGTACTACGGCTATCGTTCCGTTTTAATTTCGTGCGCTTTCCAACTGCTTCAAGATTATAAAACGGAACGCAATTGCAGTATGTTTTCAAGCTCCAACTGAAAATGGCTGGCATATGTAATATTAAAAAAATATAATTTTATTATATATATTAAATATAATATATATATATATATATATATATATATATATATATAATAA